GGTGAAGATAAAATTTTGGACCACTGCAGCACTACTATTATCCTCTTCCTTCAGTCCACCCTTCAAAAAAATAAGTTTCACAATCCTGCTACTACTTTGAAAAGAAACTATGAGAATAGAAGTGTTTTTTGAAATAAAACTTTTTGACGTTATTTCAAAGTATTGTTAGAAAAAGTTTAAAAAATAAAGCTCAAAATCCTATTGCTGTTTTAGCAGTAATTTATTGCGAATATTAAGGATTATAAGTTTGTTTTTAATCTAATTTGGGTAAGACCTCAAGACTTGGGAAAATAAAACTTTGAAGACTGGAGCACAAGTGGTGACAGTTGACTGTTTTGGTAGTTTTCGCAACAGTTGACGCTTTGATAGTTACAACAACTACTGAAAGTTTAGTCGTTAAGGTCGTAATCTTGGCAATAACAACAGAGGGTTTAGTGCTGACAGCTGACAATTTAGTGGACACCAGTGGACCACTAGTTGAAGACGATTCTCTGAGAAAACAGTTATGAAACAGCAGTCGTAATATATATTTAGTTTTTTAACCTTCTATTTCTTCATCAACCAAAAAAAAAAAATTTATTTCATTGATAAATTCGCACTTCTCTTGTAAAGTAAACAGGCTTACTCTTTGTTTGCTCACGTAATAGAAATCAATTTCAAGTTTTTCGGTGCAAGTTGTTTGGTCAATTTAATCAGCAGCATAGAAGTAACGTCATTGTATTCTACGAATGCAGGCATTAGACTTTCATTGAGTTTAAATAATTCAACGCTGATCAAATATTAACCAAACACTTTGTTTTGTTCAATTAGAACCGTTTTAATTATTCTTTCAAATGACTGTAAAACTCTAAAGAATTTGGAATAAATCGTGTGTTTGTTTTAAGAAGGATGGGTATCAAACGTAACGCTATAAAACAGCTGCTCTTGTTAAGTAAATGTAACATACGGAGGTAGATAAACCGTAAATATCTTGTTATACCGAAATTTTAAGTTTCTTGACAGTCAGTCTGGAATATTACTGATGGTGCTTTTAATGCTTAATTAGCCTTTTCTCTGCAAAATTCAAAATTGATTTTACAGTGCATGTGAATATCAGAAACAGAATTACAGAGTATCAAAAACTGTTTCAACTGAAAGTTTTCTAGAAGATGTGCAAAGCGACAAGGATTAAAGTGAGTTCAGCAAGTATTAAAAGCTGAATATTGGCAATTTATAAAATAATTATTTTACATTCACTTGTCGGTAATACTTATTTGAAATCTTAAGAAAAAGCATCATTTTTTTTTTCAACATAAACTGATGAGCTTTTATTCTAAAAGTGTTAAACTTATAGAAATTTTTAAAAGTTTGTTCTTTTTTGGGTCTTGCATTTAGTGGCGAGAGTTGGTCAAAATTACGGTGTAATCAACACAAAAACTTTGTATTCTTCGTTTGATGCAACAACGATTATAAGTTTCTGTACTCGAGTGACATTTGTATAACAACTGGGTAGCTTCGTTGAAAAACGGTTGTAAGTGAAGTGTTATAAGGTTGTTCTATGCTTACCATGTTTGCCATCAAGGCACTTGCTAAGAATAACGCTGTCAGCTGGCGTTCAGTATTGTCACGTAGTGTTCAGTAATGATATTCACCATTGTTTTACTGGTTTGTATAGTTACATATAGCTATTTTAAGTGTATAAAAATTTAATATGTTTCCCAGTATTTGCGTCTTTTTTGATAAACTAATTCACCTTGCAGCTTGTGATATTTGTTATATGAGATCAGTTTAAGAGGAATATCTAATGTAACTGCAGAAATCAAAGATAAAAAACTGCTTCACAAGACTTCACAATGAAATACTGTTGTTAGAGAGATGTGTAATATTCTTTATTTGTTGCATAACTGTAAACAAAGTTAAAAAGCGAAAAAAAAAAAGACAAACGCTCAAAAGAAACAAAAACTTATACAGACAATTTACGTTTAACATACCTACCTTTTTCGGTGTAGTCAAAATCATTATTCTGTTACCCCAAATAAACTGATTTCATAGTTGATAAGTATTTAAGTTATCATTAAATTCAAAAAACACAGACTTTACACCAGTTCATTTATTTAACAAAGTTTTATAATTTAAATTGAAAATTTAATTTAATAGCTAAGGTCAAACAAATATTCTTCAAATGACTTTTTACCATAATTTCATTTCTTAATAAATATAAATCGTAGAGCTCAGTTTACACTAAAGTATTTTTGGTGTACATAATAAGGGAGATATTCTACAAATAAACTCGCCAAGAATCTAAGTTTTGTTTAACATCTTTTTTGTAAAAAGCCTGCAATAATTTAAAGATTTTTTGCAAACAGAGTTAGTTGCGTCTATGGTGAGTATAATAATTAAGATTAGCTTCATATCTTTGCCGTACAGCTGGTTGCCACAAATCTCAAATTCTTCTCACGCTTAAAACTCGTTTGCTGAGTTTGTGAAAATAGTAAGCACAGCTTAGTATAGTCAGGCAAATACCCATTCTCCAATCACTTCTCCGAGAGTAAAGTCTACGTTTCGATATCTGCGTGAATCACTTCTAACAAAATTCATTTTTTTTATCTATTATACATGAGGAACCTTTATTTTGTTATTCGCAAAACATACATTTTAATCAGGGACTTAAATTTATTGTCTTTTCTGCTTTTTTTTT